TTAATTTTTAGATCTTAAAAGTGTTATGCTGCTTAGGCATGGGACGATACCCCTTTTCAAGGTATACCACCTCAACGTTTTTCAAATGTCTCATGGCTTCAAACGTCACCACCTGTTCATTGTGTGTCGGCATCATCCTCTGAGGAAAAAGTCATTTATTAAATAGAGAAAAGTTTTATATAGCTTCTTCTACCGCAGTAAATTCTGTTTTTACTGTTGATATTTGGCGTCAGTTAATTAGGAAGTGACGATTTTGTTCTCTTTGACTCATTGGATGGAAACGCTGCTTTATTTGCTTATCTTTAATGCGATTTTCTAGTTTTGCAAATAAATTTAATTTGCATTTAGGATGGAAACACAGCTATTGCTTACATTTCAGTCACACAAAGAACAAAGTCACTTACGAGAATGGAATCCGGTTATAATCTCCACACTCTTGGTTCTCCCCTTCGGTTGTGTCGTCTCTTCCATCTTGAAGTCCCTCCAATATCTTCTTTTACTAAGGATTATACTTGCCATACTTAATATACACTTGCTATATTCAGGCTTATTACTCCCAACACTCTTATTAACTTCCAATTAACCAATTATTAAAATTTGCACATCTTATACTCTTTATCAGTGTAGGTACTTTTTTTCCAATAAAACTAGAATTAAAATAAGAGTTACAATAAAAAATGGTAACAGAAAAAAAATATTTATGCGTAAAGAAGAAATTGAAACATGAAAAATTGAACTCACGTCATTGGGTAAAAATTATTAGTTCTAATCTGATAAAAGAATTGAAACAGAATAAAGAGAGTTTAAGAAAACAGATTTTCTTTCACATGTAACCATGTGAAGAGGATTAATGATGAAGTCAAAATTCAGCTGAAAGGAAATAATAAGAATATTGAGTGATTTTTAGTCAGCTTATAAAAGTATATCAAGATTGTATGTGCAACTACTTGAACCGAAATTACGTAGAACTAATTAGTAGCCAAAAGAAAATCATAAAAATGATTAGAACAAACTAAGTAATAAATAGTTGAGAAAATGAATTATCAAAAATAGTGTCAAATTCAAAAACTGATTGATTGTTAATGAAATACTTAAACGGAGGATTATAAAATTAGCCAGTGTAGTGAAGAGGTTTTATTTTGTTGAGCAATTAAGAGAAACACCAAGACAAGGTGATATGCAATCCATGTTAGACATTTTATTTAAGCTAAATTTTAATTGAGTTATAAACATAGATGTGACTAATTTAATTTGAATACAATTTTACAAGAAAGCAACAAATAAAAGATTGTGTTTAGTTTATGATTTAGAAGCAATTAAGGAGAAGAGATTTTAAAGCTGAGGTTAATAGTGTATGCAGAAATATGGGTATACTGATAATAAAAAGTAAAGATTGTTGTTCTTTAGTGAATAATAAGCTTAAATTCACAGACCTTCGACAGGGACATGTACTGTAACTAGATTCATGGGATTATTACTCTTCTAAAAACTATTTTTAGCACTGCTTACATTCTTATTATTCAAATATTTTTATTTTGTTTTTTAAAAGTCTTAAATTTTTCCACAACACACGTATTGACCAAAAAATTAACATGGTACAAAGATACAGAAATACTCACACTACATAAAGAAAAAGGGAGAAAGAGAAAAATAAAAAAAGTCAAATAAGTCAAATAAATAAATAAAACAGATAAAACAAATTAAAAAAAATTAGGGATAAACTCACACGTAGGATATAATAACCCCTGAGTGTTCAATGTGGGATAGGAAAGGCTGCCAAACCTCATAAAACTTTTTAACAGAGCCTCAGATGGTGTACTTAAGGTCCTTGAGTTAAAGATGTGAAAATTCTAATATCCCATGTTTGTGGGATGGCAGGTTTGTTTTTTTTCCACCTGAGAAGAATCAGGCATCTGGCCAATAAAGAAGAATAGGCAGGGATTTCTGTGATAAGGCTGACAGGTACATTTTATCGGGCACTGTACCAAAAATTGAGGTCAAAGTATTAGGATCCATATCTTTATTATATATAGATGAAAATAATCTAAAAATATTGGTCCAAAACATTATTGTATTCTAGGGCATCCCCGGAACATATGACTCAGATCTGCTGGCTCTAAACCACATCTGGGGCAAGATGAATCTGACCCTGGATACATTTTTGCCAGCTTGCTCCTAGATAGGGGAAGCATATGAAGCACCTTAAACTGAAGAAGACCATGTCTAATACATACAGAAGATGAGTGGACCAGTGCTATGGCATATTGCCATGCTGTATCTGATATTTCTAGTCCTAGTTCATCTTCCCATTTTTGCTTTATACAATTTAGGGGAGGCAGTTCTTTAGACCACTTCATATAACATGGACATCATACCCCTTTGATATGGGTTTATATTTACCAATTCATCTATCCAGCATGCTTCTGGTTGGTTCGGTGAAGGAGAGAAGTGTTTTTAATGAAACTACGGACCTGACGGTACCTAAAATATTTGACTGGGGAATCTCAATGTCTGTTAACTGTTGAAATGAGATAAATATGCCATCTTTAAACAGGTCCTTAACACAGATAACTCCCTTCCTAAAGCATAATTGGAATGCTGAAACTGTAAGAGAGGAAGAGAATAATGGATTTAACAAAATTGAGGCAATGCTTGTTTATTATTAAAGTGAAGTCTGAATTGTGACCATATTCTGAGTGATCCATTAATAACTGGGTCATTTGTAGAATATTGTTTACTGTGTTGTGTCCGGTAGTGGAAATACGTTAGATCTTTACTGAAACATGGCACTAGAACGTTTTAAACAAAGCAAAAAAGATTTATTATTCTTTAGTGGCTTTACAGCAGCATGATACTGTCTCACACTCCATTATCTCTCTAGATCACTGCACCTCCTATAACCCAGCAGCGCCCCCTGTATACAATCAATCACAGGCATATGTACACAACACACACAATTACAGCTGAACTGCAACAACAGTAGCATTCAGCAATTTGAACAAAATAATACACTTTCTCTTTTTTTCATTAATTCTTATTTTTGGTGAACAAACACCACAAATTGGAATGAAAGCACAAAGTAGTGAGCATAATGACACTGGATTAGAAGTGTGCTGTTCCATCAGTAACCAAAGTGGGCCCTCATCATTACAGATGTTGGAAAACCAGAATAGTGTTTCTATAGTCAGTTTGTGTAAATTGGCTGTGCAATAATAGGGTATATGCCGAAGCATGCTAATTTTAATTTGCCAGAAACCTGGGTTAAATGCTTCCGGTGAACTGTATGTCAATGCAAAAATCTGCACGTTTAAGGTCTGTTTTCTTTAGAAATCAGCAATCTCCACTGCCCGAGTGATATCCGATATAAAGTGGGTCTCAGATTGTACAAGAAGCACTGCATTACATTACGTTTTTCCCTGCCATGTCTTTATAATATGAGCATTTATTTTACCCCAGTAAATTCAATTGAGCTTCTGCGCTAGCCTGCCAATTCTGACCGGCCGGCCACCCCTGCTCTACTCGTTTTACACTGCAACCGTTCAGTCAACTTTTTTTTCTCAAGCACACCACATAATGCTGCCCTCTTCAACTCTTCTCCACTTCCTTTATACTCTCACTAATTTCCTTTTTGCCGTCCCATGGGTGAAGACCAATTAAACAATGTTGATTGTTGTTGTAAACTTCTAAGAGCCCAAAAAGCTGGGGGGTACTTTCGGTTGTCTTCAAAGCAAAATACTTTTAATAAGAAGAACCCAGCATGGTTGTGGCATCATCGAAAGCAAACTCTAAACTGCACAGCAAACACTACATTTATACATTTTACAGCATGTAGGTTGGGTCAGATGCAAATGAAGTGTTAAACTGCTTTTTCAGTCCTGGTCTCATCATGTTCTGGAGACAGAAACCACCTAACCAGTTGACCGAAAAGAGAAAACAAGTTACACAGCCGTGCTGTGAATCTGACACTTTGCATTACTTTTAAATATAAATTTAAATTACCACACTGTCGTCACAGGAAATACCAACTATCATAAATGCATGATTATAAGCTGTCATGGCTTTGCAATTAAAACAATATTTTTATAATAGAGGCCAATGGAGAAAAAACAGACATGAATATAACAAAAAGGGAGTAAATTTGCCCAGTGTATTGAGTCAAAATAAGATGTTCCCAAATATCAGTTAATGTGCTGAAACAGAGAAGGTTTTGGCCAAACTAAGCCTCAAAATCACCCCAGAATTGATGATAAAGACCCAACAGCACACAATGTGAACGCTGCACATTCTAGCCTTTATGCAGATTCTGTACAGGTGTGTCTCATGTCTGTGAGGAGGCAAATATTCAGCTGTTTGTTTAGCTTTTAACTCAGAACTTTTTTTCTGATGCATTTACCAGTCAGGTACAGAATAAACAAGTATTTCCTGTCTGCTTTACAAATTTTAGAAAAAAAAATTCTTATTATGAATATATACAGATAAATATAGGCCATTTACATCTTTCAAATCTGTGTCTGATCAATATGACCAAAATGACTTTTATGATCAATTATGTAAGGAACTCTGAAAACTGGGCTGACACGGTTTCAATTTACTATAACTTCTATGTTAAGTGTCTTTGACACAATATACATTGTAAAAGCACTAGATAAATAAAGATTAATTGAATCTGCTAAATCTGTACAGGTTAATGGACCAAACATAAAATGATCTGATTTATTTTACATTTAATGTGCATCAAAATTGCAGTGTGTGTAGCCAATGTTTCCAGTGTCTTTTCACTTTTCAGCTTTTGATGAGTTTTTAAGACTTAATGTTTGTTTTTTTCAGACCTAATTAAAGAGAACGAGGGGAGTAAAGAGGAGCAACATCTTGTCAAAATTGAGGAAAAAACTAATTTACAGACTGATGTTATTTTGAAAAGGAGAGACAAGAATCGTTTCACCTGCACCTGCCCTCAGTGTGGAAAGAGTTTGGCAAGCAAAAGCAAACTTAAGATTCACATGATGATCCACACTGGAGAGAAACCATTCACATGCACTCAGTGTGGGAAGAGTTTCAACCAATCATCATCCTTTAATCAACACATGAGGATCCACACTGGAGAGAAACCATTCACATGCACTCAGTGTGGGAAGAGTTTTAACTGCTCATCACACCTTAATGACCACATGATGATCCACACTGGAGAGAAACCATTCGCATGCACTCAGTGTGGAAAGAGTTTTCGCCAATCATCATCCCTTAATCAACACACTAGGATTCACACTGGAGAGAGACCATTCACATGCACTCAGTGTGGGAGGAGTTTTAAATGCTCATCACACCTTAATAAACACACGATGATCCACACTGGAGAGAAACCATTTACATGCACTCAGTGTGGGAAGAGTTTCCGCCAATCATCATCCTTTAATAAACACATGAGGATCCACACTGGAGAGAAACCTTTCACATGCACTCAGTGTGGGAAGAGTTTTAACTGCTCATCACAAATTAATGAACACATGAGGATCCACACTGGAAAGAAACCATTCACATGCACTCAGTGTGGGAAGAGTTTCAGTCAGTCATCATACCTTAATAGACACACAAGGATCCACACTGGAGAGAAGCCATTCACATGTACACTGTGTGGGAAGAGTTTTAACCGCTCATCAAACCTTAATAAACACATGAGGATCCACACTGGAAAGAAACCATTCACATGCACTCAGTGTGGGAAGAGTTTCTGCCAAACATCATCCCTTAATAAACACATGAGGATCCACACTGGAGAGTAACCATTCACGTGCACTCAGTGTGGGAAGAGTTGCAGCGAATCAACATCCCTTAATCTACCCATGATGCACCACACTGGAGAGAAACCATTCACTTGCACTTAAGCCGTGGTCACACTGGACTTTTCTCTCCATAGACTTCCATCAAGTGTGCCGCAAGCCTGCGTTTGTGTGAAGGTCTTGGCCGTTAGATCGCCCCCTGGGGGCTGGCTGCAGTACAAGTCAAAAAGCCCGCCTCCTCCGTGTCAATGACTCGAGACTTGAGCCCAAATAAAAAAATGAATTACTCTTGCAAAAAAATTTCCTGAAAGATGGTTCTGGTCGATTAAGGCACTGGTTATTGTGCTGAAATAGGTGCAGATCTTCATTTTTGTAAACAGTTTGTTTTTAGCAGTAATTTAATGCTGGGCGTGTCATCGTGATTGACAGCTGTGATTGACAGCTTCTCAAAGCAGACCGTCTAAGCTTCGGCAGGAGACTGAAGTGTTATTATTCGATTTCTGTGTTATTTTACCATGCCAAAATGAGTTCAGCAGTAAACTATAGTTTCTGACATACATAATCCTGGTGGAACACTGTTTATTAGCTAAGGTCAGGGCTTTTTTTCGGGCTTTATTAGTTTGCTTAAACACGCCTAGCCACCCAGATAGCAAAATACACTCGGGCCAGTTCCGGCTAGATTCTCGCCTGCCGGAGACTTACCCCTCAGACTGACTACTTCTGCTGGACCTACTCCGGATGCCTGGACTCGCTGCCCGATTCCAGCCCGAGTCAATCGAGCCAGATGCGGCGGCTGAGCGAGCCGGCGCTGCTGCATGCAAGCCGGAATCAGCCCGCGACGCCGCGAGTAGGTTATGCGCTGCGGCCCGGAGCTGGCGCGATTGAATTTTCATTATATAAAACCCTCACCTTTGTTAACGTTATTACATCCATTTGTTTTGATATGACAGCAAATGCAGGCTACTATGTAAACGCAAAGTGTATCACTGAGTTTAACCTTTGAATAAAGATGCAAACAGCATACATCACAAATATTTAAATAAAGGACAAAATAAAAACCTGTATTGATTGCACAAGTATTAAATAATAATACAATTGAATACATTTTGTAGTGCACAAGAATTAAGATATATAAAAATGACAATAAAACTGCACAAAAAAATAAACTAATAATAAACAAATAAATAAACAATTCAAGCGAAAATCAATATACAATATACTAGCGATGTTGCAGCACATTGTATTAATAGTGCAAAGTTTTTTTTGCACAAACTGACAAATTGCAGGGTTGGGATGTGTAAATATCCTGTTGATATTTGGAAATCTTGCTGTATTTATCTTCTAAACGCACAATTGTTCCCGCATGGTAAATCGTTATGGTGTGTAGGCTATATTTTGGGTTCTGTTGATGGCTAATTAAAAATAAAAACCTTTCTAAAAATGTACGTGTTGTTTATATGTTATTGTTCAAATTTTATAGAATATACATATTTTAGAGAATATATTATTTGTTCTGATATTTAGGCTTGAGTGTATAAAAGATCATTTATTTCTGCAGTCCAGCATGTATTGCTTTTATTAAAGTATAACAGCTTAAAATAACACTGTTTTTAAACCGTATATTATTCTGTGTTTTTAAATGTAAGTGCTTCTGTTTACATCAGCGAGCCTTTGTTATAGTGCAGATCAGGAGGTGTCAAGTGAGAAGTTCGGGGGGCGTGGTTCATTTTACATAAAGCGTTTGGTTGGAAGCTCGACTCCGACTCATTATCGCGGCTCCTCCTCTGGCTCCATCAGACAGTCCTTCTGCGCATGTCAAGGCTCCAATTTCAGCAGTCTTTTGCGACAGTTTGTGCCCGTCAAGCAGGCGTTTTGCCCTCAAGGCGTTCAATGGGAAAAGGGGCTGTCGAGTCGTCCATATTTTTTACAGTCATTGACTTCCATTCATACACATGCAAATACATTAGAACGGAAACGCAAGTTTATGCGTAAAGTTTCGCAGTTCACTGCCTTGCTAAGTTTAAGCTTGGTGAACTTTGACCTTTGAATTTACATCACTTGACTGTGTGAGACCCACACTGGAGAGTAACCATTCACATGCACTCTGTGTGGGAAGAGTTTCAATCAATCAGCAAACCTTAATGAACACGTAAATGTGTCACATTTGCCGTAAACACAATGATGGCGGCTGAGAGAAGAACAGTTTCATAAACATCTGGCAAACAGCACCTCTGCTGCTTAAAATCTCTTTGCAAGTGATTGTACAGGTGTGGATACAACTGTACTCCACTCTCCAGTGTATTCATGTAGCTAGTGTTGTTTTAGATGAGGTTCTCTGTCTGACAAGACCCCTGCGGGGGTCGGCGCCCGGGGAACAGGGCTAGTTGGCCGACTCTGGGAAAAAGGGGATTTTGACGGTGAATATTGCTGTTAGAGGGTGACGGGACAAGTTAGGTGCTCAAGGAACGGCTCAGCGGAGCGACTGCTGTTGCAGTGGTGCAGTGGTAGTCAGCGTTGGAGCGCTATGAATGCTAAATATTGTCAGTAGTGATCTGTAGAGATGAAGTAAAAGAGGGGCTCAGCTAGAGTGCCACTGCAGCGGTGCTATTGGTGAATGTAACTTGGTGGGGAGTCTCTGCTGTTGCAAAGGTGCAGTGGTACTCAGTATTGCATATTTATGCATGTTCCCATAAGAATGTAAAATCCTGTCGTTAGTGATATGTAGATGTGAGAGTGAATAAGGGGTCGGCTAGAGCGTCGCTGCAGTTGCGCTGTAGTGGAGGGTGGCTCAGCTTAGCGTCTCTGCTGCTGCAGAGGTTCAGTGGGTCAGTATGGAGGCAATGTGTGCTCCTGCATAAGCATATACTGCTCTATTTATGCAGTGGACTGTGATGATAGTGGTATTGGAAGTGTAAGTGTATACGAGCTTGTTTAGAGCGTTGCTGCCACAGCAATTGAAACTTGGGCGACCGCGAAATGGGTCAGAGCTGTGGTAAACAAGAGTGAATGGAAGTATAGGGCAATTAGAGGGAAAAATTAAATGAAGAAATGTGGGGAAGAGGCCTAGACATGCATTGGGGTGTACCCTTTGTGTAAATGATCTGTTTGCTTTATAAAGAGAGTTTCTTCATCCTGCAAAGTTAGATCAGCTATGATGAGGTGGAATATGGGATTGAAATTTTGATGTTAGTTCAGAACATCTCAAAAACCAAAAAGTGTAGTGTGAATATGGCATTAGGGGTATGGGCTGTATGAGTGAAAATGTATCTTTGCTAAGAGTTGAATGAGGGCAGTTATCTGGAGCCGGCAGTCATGCGCTCTTAAAATGAGAAAATAAGAGAGAATCAAAAATTATATATTTACAGCATAGTATATATACAGCAGACATCATTAATTGTTTCAGCTGATATTCATGCAAGGTTTCTTCATAAGTGCATGGGCAACTGTGAATAGAAGCGCCTTTGTTAATGCATGTTACAATAACTATAATATCTTGATGTGCAAGGGTTGTTGAAGTGGGCATTCGACCCCCTGCAGGGTGGCAAATGGATGGAAGGCTGAGGATATGGGGCGTGTCTTGGCTGGTGGTCCTAGAAGTACCTCTTGGAGAGCAGGTGAGATGACAGTGGAGTGGAGTTTAAACCCCTTAGTGGTATAGAAGTTTGTTTAAAAGCAAATGTACCTAACACAGTCAATGTATGAAAAGTTACTCCATTGACTCTCATTGAAATTTCCTCCTCCGGTTTGTACCAGTCAAGCAGGAAATTGCTTCTTTGCCGTTTCACATCTCACTGACTTCCCATTATAAACTTTTCTATGACACTCGTGTGTATTGATATATGAGTCACTATTGACATGTTATAAAAGAGCTTCAATGCTTAATGTGATATATGTATTTCAGTAGCTGGGTAATACTCTTTTCATTTTAATTTTTTTATTATTTAAATGTAAATATATCAACTCCCAACATCAAACTTGAAAAATAATGTTACCACTTTGTAGGAACTGTGTGAATGTAATGTTTAACATTAGCTTTTATTAAATCCATGATCAATAACATTACGTATGGAATCTTAACATGATTGAAAAATCTTGAGTGTATCTGGCCCGATTTATTCATAAAAGCTGCGTCCCAAATGGCACACTATACACTATGCACTCATGCACTATGTACTTATGCACTTACACACTCAACAGGGTAGTATATGTATGTAGTGTCGTCCCAAATGGCACACTAATGTTTTTTTACTAAGCGGAAATTCAAACCGTTTCCCTGATGACGTTTGTTGTTTGCCAAATCATTGAAGTAAACGGCCAAATTATCAAATAATACCTGCTGTGAGTGTTGCCGCATTCACCATCGGGGTGCGCTATAATCACTCTCGTAGAAGAATTTTGCTTTCACCATCCAAAATAAATAAAGTTATTCAACGTGTGCGTCCGATAGCTCCGCCTCTTCCGCTACGTAAGCAAACCTGCGGTCGTTGAGTGCGTGAAGTGTCCATCATTACACACTTCATTTTACCGGCTGAATGAGTGCATCATCCGGGTAATTAAAGTGCACTTATTATTTTTAGAGTTTTCCGTGTGAACGCACTACTTACACTATTTATACTACAAAATGGCATAGAATAGTGCATAAGTATGCGATTTGGGACGCAGCGAAAGTCTTTGCACTCAGTCGATTCATGAAACTATCAAGAGAGAAGGCGGGACAATCACAGGTTTGGAAAGCTTATTGGATGGTGGTACTTCACCTTTCAGCTATTGGCTCCTTGGAGTACCAGTCAGAGTTCAGAGTGCAAAAGGTTGGCGGCCATTTTGTAGACCAAAATAGCTACGGTGTTTATGCCTGAAAGACTGGCTCCACGTGCTCCAGCAGCAGGTTTGGGTGATAACAGTGCACCCTTCCATAAATGTTTATCAACGTTTGGATATGTTGTAGACTAATGTTTGTGGATTAGATTGCCTTGTAATTTGCATTTGAACTACTTTAGCTGTCTGAATGTTATGGATTTGTTGACAGCCAGGAGGCTGAGAGGTGAGTTCTTTGTTGAAATCATTCCATTCACGCTAGTCTCGTCTTTCATAAACCTTTATGAAATGTTTAGTCTTTGTTGGAGTGTTGTTATCTAGCGAGGCATGTCTGTTATCGAAAGTGGACCCCTATTAGATCAGTGAGAGTTCGGCTTCATTGCAGTGGCTTGGATTGCCGGCGTCTTGAGTTTAGTTGGAGTTGTGGCTTGCGTTGTATGGGGCAGTTGGAGTAATCTGATTGGATTATTACTGATTACAGATGAGTGGCCAGTTGTGCTAAATCATATCACGTGCTCCTCTCGAAATTAGTTTATGAAACTTCATGTGTTGCAGCTTTTATTAGTAAAGTTTCTTTACTTTTGGGTTCAAGATTCTTTCTAGTTTACTATATTTACTATTTTGAGTAAAATAAAAACTTGATAAATATTTTATGATTTGGGAACATTTTTTTTACATTATTAATACACTGTGATGTTCCCAAGACTCTAGATTGGAGTCTAAATTATAGAGGTAAAGTTGGTTTTATATTCGCACATTCAGACTTTCCCCTTAATAATATAATTTCATAAAAATATTATTTGCAAACTCTAAATAGCGACATCATATTATCAGCCAATGACTATCAAAGTACAACATTGTTCACAGTCAAATAAACAGTGTTAATGTTGTTTAGAAGTCACACTTGCATTCTAATTATGATTGAATATTCAAAGTAACAAGGTAAACAACATAGAGACCTATAAATGAACAAATGTGTAAATATAAAACCAACTTTACCTCTATGTCTAGGTGCCTGTGTAGCAGTCGATTCTGTTCCCTTCTGGAATTCCAGTTCCCCCTCTACGAAGCGTATCCGCTAACAGCGTATGCGGACACACCCAAACACAACTGGATGTACGGAAAGCGAAAAGGGACAAAAGTGTGGCAATGCTTTGTATGTCTTGCAATGTCAAAGTAGCGCAATAAAATCAATCTTACACTTCCATTACATATTACCTGTGGTTCTTGTTTGCATTTTTAGCTTTTTTTTTAATGTCTTAGTTTATGCACCCTAATTTAATATTGCATGTAGGCCTACAGTTATGTTAGTCCTCTAGACACATGTGTCCCAGTATGTGCCCCAGTGTTTGTGTGCGCGCGCGTACGTACATACATACATACATATATATATATATATATATATATATATATATATATATATATATATATATATATAATAATTGTTTACAATTAATTATTCAATTAATTAATTATCAGTGGAGCTATAAATTGGGAACATGGCCATACCACATTGTCACTTGATAGTCACACCAATTTGTATTGCTTGTGGTTACTCTCTGACTCAAACAACAATAATGGATCCAAAAATGTATGAACAAATTATGAACTATAAACAGCAAGGCACATACCCTGTTGGTATAAAGAAGGAGCAAAAATATATTATACGCCGGCGTTCTTCCAACTTCCAAATTGATGGTAAGCAAAGTACTTTTGAGTTAAGATTTTAAAATATTTATTCATAAAAGAATTAAATAACAATAATGCTGTTTGAATAGATGGAAAACTTTACCACCTTTCAAAAAAAAATGGCGTGGAGTTAAAAAAACAAGTGGTTGTTGGGGAAAATGAAGCAAATGAAATTTTTCAAGATTTTCATGCAAGCTCCCATGGAGCACACTGTGGAACGGAGAAAACAAAACTTGCCATTTCAGCCCGATTTTACTGGCCTGGAATGGGGGTGGATATTGATAAATGGGTAAGATTTAAATAATTTCTTTCAAACTTGTTATGAGATCTTAATGGATTGTTTCTCATTTGCTTATTTCTGATTTTCAGGTTTTGCAGTGTGCTCAATGCCAGTTTAGTAGGCCATCCATAAAACAGGAGCCAAAGTATATTCCGATATGTGTATGTAAGCTTGTTCACATTTTCAAATACAAGGTGTCACAGCATTCACATTTATTTGTGCTGTTTTTCCTTCCTAAGGTGGATAGGCCACTAGAACTGTTGGGTATGGACCTGGTGGGCAAAGTGACCAAAACCGACAAGGGCAACGAATACATTTGTGTCATTGTCGATTATTACACCAAATGGTCAGAGGCGTATCCCATACCCAACAAATCAGCTGCAGTTGTTGCACGCTGTATCATTAACTTTTTTTATAGGTTTGGGGACCAAAGAGGATCCTAACCGACCAAGGCAGAGAGTTTGTGAACCAGGTTTGCAACTTATCAAATTACATTCAGAAAATAAGAATAAATGTTTTGTGCAAATCAGAATTATACAAACCTTACATACGTTTTGCAAATAGATCAACAAAGACCTCTGTGACTTCCTTGGTGTGGAACGAAGCCTCTGTGCCCCATACCATCCACAAACTAACGGCCTTGTGGAAAAACTAAATGGGACCATCCAGAAGTAAGTTGGCATTATGGGAATGCAATATTGATGTAATATTGTACATCCTTGTAATTGTTTACTAATACCTTCCTGCTCCTTTTTATTACTCTAGAGCCTTGTGTAAACTTGTGGAGGAGCGACCTGAAAAATGGGATGAGTACCTAGATGCAGTGATGTTTGGTCTAAGAACTAAGCCACAGCTGACAACTAGGTACTCCCCATTTTTCCTGATGTTCGGCTTTGAGGCCCGATACCCTTCAGAGGTGCCTGAGACATTTGAGGTATATGTTTAGTCTTTTATTTGGTTTAAATGACAAAGTGAAATCATTTCTAAGTGCTATATTTCCTAAAAGGTTAACAGCACAGTGGAAAATATATTAACTGAGGACACCGTGTCAGGGGCCATTTCTCTAAAAGAGAAAATTGACCACATGGTAAAGGAAAATGTAAAAAAAAAACAGGAGCGCAGACAGAAAGTGCAAAATCAAGCACAGTTCTCTGTTGGTCAAAAGGTCCTACGGAAAAACATAAGGTCCCAGCAGAGAAAAGGTGGCAAGCTTGAGCGGAGCTGGCTAGGACCTTTTGAAATCATCCAACTCAAAGAAAAAAGTGCTGATCTGAGGGATGAGAAAGGTCACATTTACCCAAAAATAAGCACAGACCACCTTAAGTTATTTAAAGTAGATGGACCTCATGTACCCCACAGGATCCTTGCTGCACAACAAAATCAAAGACCAGACCAGCATCCTTCACCTACACCTTTAGACCTCACCATCACAAAACTGCAGCCCCAACCATCACCGCCATCCTCACCAAATGCACCACAACTTTCTCCCTGTGTCTCCCCCAAGTCTTCCTCTTCCCTGTCTCCACTGAACTTAACTGTCAGTCTCTCCTCTCCTCCATCCCACACCACTACAGTGGAAGTGCTTGCACAGGCTGACTCCAAGGATGCAAAACATGGCTGTAAGTGCTGATATACTATAGAATCAAATGCTGTAATAAAAGCAAAAATATTTTTCAGGTGTGAAACTATATTTTTTAAAGTGCTGCTTTTTATTTGTTTATAGACCTCAAAAGTGCTTGGAAAGGCAATGAAAGCCATGTATTGCTGTCCAAAGTGGGACCATATAAATTATTTTATTCTGACATTTCAAGGCTCAGACCTGGCATGGAGTTGGAGAGTGAGGTAAAGATAAAAAAATTGTCACGTCAATCTTTTATGTAATGTTCTATTAATGTTTTATTATTTTTTTTTATTGTTTGACAAGGTAATAAATGCTTATCTTACCTTGAAAGTGAAGGAGCACAATGAAAAATCTAAGCGTAAAGCCTATGCTTTTAACACATTTACAATGTCTGAGCTGTGGAAAGGAAAACCTCAGCGATTCAAGGTGTATGTTTTTTTTTTTGTTTTTTTGTGTGTTTTTATTAATAAATATTTTAGTTTTTATTCTTTCTGACCATGTGTAAAATTTAATAACAAAATGGATCTTGCATGCTTTTAGCAAGTTGTGTAATTATATATAGTTATATAGTTTCTAATATTGTGTTCATTTATATTTAGGTGGACCCAGCAAAATATGATGTATTGTTGGGTATTGTCAATGAATGTCACCACTGGTTTTTGATGGTAAATGCTTCTGATTTGAAAACGGACTCTTCTTGAAACTTTCCCTATTCTCAAGTTTTTTTATTTTTATTTTTTGTTAAATCTAGGCTATATACCCAGCCCAAAGGAAAGCTATTCTTCTTGATTCTCTTGGAGAGACTGAGGTGAAGAAAAAGAAGTGTTTGGAAACGGCAAGGTATTATAATTCGGCATAATCTGATATTGGAAGTTAACTGACAGACAGACAGAAAAAAAAAACAAAAAAAAAAAAACCTTTTGCAGCGCAATTATGAAGAAACTTCCAGTTTCACATTGGGTGTGTGAAACACTGCCTCACCCACATCAAAAAGATGGAACATCATGTGGTGTGTTTGCGTTGAAGGTATGTGTCATTGACCATATGAAATATTAATAAAATTTGGATTGTTTATTTATATTTGTTTTTGTCCAGTTTGCAGAATACATCCTTAAAGAGAAGGAAATTGACTTCTGCAGTGCACCACAAGAAGTGAAACGACTCCGATTAGAGATTGCATCAACACTTCTTGACCAATCTGGTATGTTTTTATTCGTGTTTAACTTAATTTTCAGTGCGTTTATGCATTTTCAGAACTTACTTAAAATTCACAAAAGAAATTTAAACAGCTCATTTTATCTCATAGATGATCTAAGTGACCTGTGTCACTTTTGTGGGGAGGCAGAGACATTTGATGAATCTGAGAATTTTCTCTGGGTAACAACATTTGTCTTTTTTTTTTTTTTTTTTTTTTAATGCATTGTAAGCAAGTTTTATTTATTTATTTTTTAATCATAGCATATGATTGAATAACACGAACATTTTGCTTACAACGTTGCTTCCCTTTTTATTATGAGGCAGATGTATTATTAATACCCCCTCTCTATTTTTAGATTTCCTGTGACCAATGTGGGCGATGGTTCCACGTGGCCTGCGTTAATAATCCAGCAACAGAAGCAGACTACAAATGCTTTTCCTGTAAATAAAAAAATGAAATGTAAAAACGTTTATTTTCTTGTTTATCTCTTTGGAAATTGCTATGGTATACCTGCTATAAATTTGTCTCTAAAATGTAAAGCTGTGTATGGCAAACATGCTGTCTAAAATAAAATTCCGCTTAAGGAATAAGGAAAAACTTTCTAGATTACGTGGAGAAACTTAATTTTCAGGTTCGCGAAAAATACGAACTTTAAGAACCACTCTGCTTCCCGTACATCCAGTTGTGCTTCACGGGTACGTTGTTTGCGATCATACGTATGGTGCCTCGGCAACAACGCAAACCATGTAGTTTGTGACAAAGGAGTTTGTCACTGGCCTGCGGCAGAGCTGTACACCCACATATTCACGCACACACACATAACTTACCTTCACTCCACCAGCCGATCGATCGGGTGCACACGGGAGATTGCGCTGTAATAAAAACACATACACGCACAAACACATTATATACTCCATTAATCCTTGCATATTCTGACACGCCATAAATCACACCGCATACATTTGTCTTACCTGTGTGTCCGTTTGTGTTTGTGTTTGTTCGTCTCGTTGCGTTTCTGTTGCGTCTCTCTTCCGGGTTGCGCAATCGCGGCTACGGGAGGCAAAAGGGGCCAAAAAGGTCATGCGCAGCATTTTATGCACAGTGATGCGCTGCGCATGCGCTGAGTGGTTGGGCACCCGGGGGAGACTATGTGTTTTATGTGGGGGATGAAAAGAATGGGAAAACAATGGAAGAAGCAGTATTCATGACATGTGAAAATGCTGATTTAATAATTTTGGTTTTAAGTTGTATAGTAATACAAATGAAGTGTATGAAAGTGTGAAATACTTACCTGAAAGATTTGTTTATGTCCATACTTACCTTATACTTACCTTCAATATAGTTTAATCCAAACTGGGCGGAGTCACTCACTATAAATAGAGTGACTTGTGCTCAGTTCAGAGTGGGAGTCGTTGGAGATAGAAGGTGTGAGTAGTGTCGAATAGTTGGTTTTGATAATTCTGGAGAACAAATATTTTGTATATAATTATTTTGTTACTTTATTGTCTCTATTTGTTTGTTTTGTTGTTTGTTTATTTTTTTTGTATATATATATCTATTTTTTTTCTTTTATTTTTGGGATTTTTGGAATGGAAACTTTTGCACTGTAAATAAACGCACCTTGCACCATAGTGCTACGTCGGCTGAGCCATCATTCATTTTTTTTTTCTTGTTTCACACACACCCGAAAAACGCCTCTGTGTGACATAGTTTAATTGCGTAAAGGGGAACAGACATTCCGAGGGGAACAGAATCGACTGCTACACCTGCATTACTCCTCACGGGGGAAAATAAAAGTTGTTGTGCGAGCTACCCCAGGACACTGTGGCTACTAAGGAGTCCTCATGTCAAGACCTGCCATCTCATTGACTCTTTAACCTTATGGTTTTCTTTTGCATTACTTCTATCTTGTAATTAAAGTGTTGTTGTGATTAGATCCTAAGTTCTTTATCTTCATTAATATTCCTCAACATTTTTGGTTGCTTTGATTGATTGCTTTTGTAATGGCCTCAAAAGGATTATAAATGTTTAATTTTATTTTTAATGCCTTTATTTTATTTGTGGTTTATATATAAATCTGAATAAGTTGGAGAGAGCAGCGTACAGGGATGCATGCATGCACCAATGAGGGCGCTGTGAGAAAAGAGACATTGTGTGTTCATAAGAGAAGAAGAGTCAGATAAGTGATTCAGTCTGTAAGTGAACCGTTCTTGTAAATGAATTGTTGTTGTTCAGTCCCGAATCGTCACAGAAAAAAAGACCGGAGCAAATAAATCTACAGAAAATCAAAAGACTGTCCTATTCATTGTTCAAGGGGGCAACACTTTATAAGTTACATTTTATAATAAATATTTTGCATTCAGGCTATTTTGTTGGTTCATCTCTCTTTTATGTTACGACTTATATGAGCAGGTCATAACACTTTGTAAAATGTTTCTAGTTGTATCTGAGATATTGTCCTTTCAGTCATGATCATAGGTAAGAGTAGGAACCTAGATTGAGCGGTAAATTGAGAACACTGCCTTTCGTCTTAGTTCCTTCACTACAATTGACAATCACATCAACTGCATTACTGCGGCCGCTGCACTGATCCATCTTTTAATCTCACATTCCATTCCTCATGAAAAACACAAATACTTGAACTCCATGTGGGGTAAGGACTCTCCTCCAAACTGGAGATGGCCTCCTTTTTCTAGTCAAGCTCCTGAGAGGTGTTGTTTCTTTTCCTTCCTTGTCACACTCAGCAGCAAATTGTCCCTCTGCATGCTGAAGGTCCATGTCCTGTGAAGCCAATAGGACAACATTATCTGCAAATGACCGAGACCGTCCTAGCCTGCATCTAAAATTCTGTCAGTAAAAGTTATTATATTGTTGAGATAAGCCTTAAAAGACACATTTACAAAATAAAATGAACAAAAAAAAAATGGATGGATAGGGATTGTAGTTGTGGAAGAGGAAGCAGGATGGCTTTTTTATCCTTAAACCAAGATAGATCTTCTTCGGAGGGATGGACCAGTGCGCGAGATGTCTCAGACTGAAGGCGTTATTGTTCCAGAAAAATAAATTGATTAAATTATCAAACTGTTTTAAATATTGTAAAGAATTATTTACAGGGATATACTGAAGCAGAGAAATAACTTTAGGAAGGCAATTCATTTTGAGTATGATAGTTTGCTATTTTGAGTACCGCAGAGCAGTGGTTCTCACTCCATGGTCTGGTGCTTGTGCAAAATGAATTGACAACCTGTGAAAATCAGTAAATATTAAGTTTAAGAGCAATTTATTTAAAAACAAGGAAAGGAAAGTGTTAAGTGTTTCAGGACATAAGAACAAGTAATAAAATAGGCTATAGTCTATATTTCGCCCTTAGGAAGCCCAGCTTTGGCCAGACCAGGCCCTGGAAGTGACAGTGGAAACGCGACACTTTTTGCTCACTTTTGGCACGATAGTGGAAAAGCAGATAATGGTTCTGGTGAATCTCAAAAACTGGTCAGTTTTTGTTGGCTTGTCACTGGGTTACCCCATCCAGTGGCAACACAGTAGTTCTCACTGTAGTGGGCAGATTCTTGAAGGCAGCTCACTTTATTCCCCTCCACAAATTACCTTTATCAAGGAAGAAAGCAGCCATTTTTTTGGACCACGTCTTTCGTATTTATGGCCTCCTAGTTGACATGGTTTTAGACAGGGGTCCCCATTTTGTGTCTAAGTTTTGGGCAGAATTGTGCTGACAACTGAGGGCGACTCCTAGCCTTTCTCACGAGTACCACCCACAGACCAATGGCCAGGCCGTGCAAGCTAATTTGTGGCTGGAGAGGGTCCTGCGTTGCGTCGCATGCAGGGAACCCTCATCTTGAAGTTCCAGATTAACCATGAGTTCTCCCTTCCTATCTTATCTATGGGCTTGTCTCCCTTTCAGTGCTACTTAGGCTACCAGCCCCCTCTGTAGACTGATTTCAAGAGGCTGCCATTTTAAAAGTGAAATCGAGGCTACGTTGGAAAAAAAACAGAAGTATTGTATGGAGTCACACAGCAACATTATGTACCTGGGTGTACATCTTAATCTCAGTCCCCGTCCCCACTGTGTTTACCTGGTGCCATGAACTAAATTCTAGGAGGCCACTTAAGCATATTACTCTTAAAGAGATTGTAATTTTGTTTGATGCCTAATCTGTTATTAAATGTTGGAATTAAACTGAACTAAATGATATTAAAGTGATGTTTACACTATCTGCATTTTGAAATCGTGGCAACAGCTGGATGTTTGTAATCCACAGCACGTTGTTGCAATGTTTACAATGCTGCTCCTATACTTCCATAGTTTTTCCCACCACAGCCTAGCTTTCATTCTATAAAATGGTGGCCATGTGAAATCTCCTGTTTACTAGACAGGCGCTTTGACCAACTAAGCCACAGCGCCAAACGACCTTGACAGGGGCTAATTGTTTAATTTGTAAAAAGAAAAAAAAAGTAGCACTGCATGTGTGAATATCTGGACTTGAAATATTAAAGTCCAACTGGTTAGGCATTACCACACTATGCTATATAAAGCCATCATCCAAAGCCCTCTTGAACGAGCAGCGTTCTTACGGATTTGAGTTTTGTTAAGAAACCGACTGCTAAACATCCCGCTGCGTAAACACTTGTTACTCTTAACAAAAAGCAACTCTGGCACCTGTAGATTAGGCACTGCTGGGATTTGAACCCAGGATCTCCTGTTTACGAGACAGGCGCTTTGACCAACTAAGCCACAGTGCCAACAATGAAGAGGAGGCAAGACGTTTTTGCACACAGAGACTAAAAAAAGACAGCAAGTCTTAAAATGGTAAGCAAAGAGGTTGTTTAACTATATTTGTCGCACTATTCATTACGCCTCAAAGCTATACAATTTTATAATTCATTCCGGTAAGCTCTATAAAACAAGCACACGCACCACCTGGACTAAGGCGCTGCTGGGATTTGAGCCCAGGATCTCCTGTTTACAAGACAGGGGCTTTGACCAGCTAAGCCACAGCACCACAAAAATTCACAGTAAGAGACATTTGCCGGATAACAAAAATTGAAGAAGAAAAAATAATACACAACAAAAACCAGCATGTCAGGATGCAGAAAATGCTGACAAGACGGATGCAGTCTTTTTGAGTCTGGATGATCATGTCTCAAACCTGACCTGTAACCTGGCCTCTGTTCAAGATCAAAGCAAAAAGTGCATGAATTTA